TTCATATCATGAATAATTGGAAAGAAATAATTGCGAATATTGATCACCATGGTAGAACAACCTTTTGCCGAAAAGTATTTGACGAAACATGGCGTGCAAATTTAACAGTGGGGTATCCCTTTTCTTCATTGATGCCTTTATTGTTATGTTCCAATACTTTTGCGAAAATATAACTGCGTGAAATATTACAAATCAATACAATATTACAAATTTATCATACCAATAATGATGTCAAAATTTCGCGGCCATGAAAGCATAAAATTTGATAAATACTAAATATTTAGAATTTATCTTATATATATTTAGCAATTAAAATTAAATTTTTTTATTGTATTTAAAATATAACAGATTAATTTGATTAAATTTTAAATTTGAATTGTACAATTGTAAAATTTAAATATTGAATTTTTAATTTTTAAATTTTTACTATTTAAATTTTGAAATTTGAATTATATTAAATTTTTAATTTTTAAGTTTTTTATATTTAAATATTAAGTTTTATATAAGTTTTTAATATTGAACTTGAAAATTAAGATTCTTTCTTCTTAATTTTAAATTATTTTATATAAATATTATATATATTTATATAATATTATTTTATATAAATAATTAAATAATTTAAATAATGTAAAATATAAATTTTTTAAATTTTAACATTTACCATGTTAATAATCTCCGATAGAATTAAAATATGCTTGATCATTTTACATATTAATTTTTTTTGTATTTTATATTTTTTTTAAGAAAAATTTAATTCTAATAACCAAATAGCCCTGAAGAATGATTTTGAATTTTATTTTTAGCAGAAAGGAATTAAAATATACTTCATATTTCTTTTCTATACAAGAATTTCTAATCATTCACGGGAAATCATATGATTTGTCACGCAACAGCCTCCACCAACCTTAATTTTCACGGAACTTGAAGAGAAATACATCCATACAAAATTTACCATTTAGCTACTGTAGAAAACCATAGCGAATTTATAGAGTGCTTTTCTTTAACTCAATAATACCTGGTCAACTATCGTCCCACATTATATCATTGACGGAGCGTCACTAAATACGTATGTGAATATATATTTTTAGTTTTAATATGAATTAAAATATGTTTGTATTTTTTTTTCTTATTATTATTAATTTTTATAAATATAACTTTAAAATGTTTTTAAACTTAAAGTTTCTGATTATAAATTTTTGTTATAATATACAATAGAAGATAACAATACAAAACAATCTTCACTATTGAGAATATACTATTGCTAAGAAATCCAGAATAATAAATAAAAATTTGATAATTCAAGTATAATTTTCGTTATTTTTTAAAAAATGTTTTTTTTTACATGCGATCCAATATATTCATTCTAACTTTCTTAATCCAAAAAAATGCCTTTAAGCTACGTTAATACCAAGAACTAGCCAAAAGAATATACTTGACTTGAGAGAAGTCAAAGATCGACAATAGAAGAACACGAGCCACGCCCAAGTGCCGATGATCGAGCGCAACAAAACGATCCGATTTTGTTCGGGATGTAGAGAAAACAGCGGCAGCACATGAATGGAAGTAGTAAAGGTGTTGGCTGAGGTACAAGCAGTTCTCCTTTTTTCACAAGTAAATTTGACGTTAGCTAAATAAATACATTGAAGCCGGCTACGTTTGAAGTGGTTCTCGTTGACAGGATGACCATGAACATCGATGCGATTGTTCCGTCATGGATAGTCGGCTTCTTTTCAAGATTCGCTCGTTTGCCCTCGTTTCTTTCTCTCTTTTTCCTTCTCATTCCATTATCGTTGTCAAAAATTGCTGAATATTCCTTTTGGAAAAATCAAGATCATTCTCCGCATGTTCTATCAATTTCGATTACAAAGAGTTAACTTAAAGAAATTCTTGCTATTATTTTCATTTTTTGATTTTTGCAATAATTTTAAAAAACATTTATGTTATTATCAATAGAGATGTTCGTCTTTTATACTTATTAAAATTTATGTTTTGTTTCGTTTGCTTTATGTAGATTCGATGAAAATAATTTTTTTCTTACAACAATATCTTAACAATCAAATCCATTCTTTTTTTTAAGTTCTTCAAATTTATTTTTTTTACATTTATTTGTAAAAAAAAAGTGCTCATCGTTTTACAACTATTACAATTACTGAAATAAAACTAAATTAATTATTTGAAAGAAAAGAGAAACAAAGTAATTATTTAAGAATTTAATAATTTTATCTAAACATACATAATTTTTCTCTGCCTCGTCATTGGCTACAAATGCCAATAAAATTAAACAAATTTGTACACATTATACAATGGTTTCCGCGTATAGGAACCTTACCGATTAAATAATGTCGCTATAAGCGTGAAAATACATGAATATTATAATATTCAATTTGACACAGCCGGGAATCAAAAAATTATTTTTGCATAAACATTATTTTACTAAATTAATTATAATCTACGATTCACCGTGTGTTTTTAAATGTATTTTTAAAGTAGTTCTATTAATAAAAGCTTTAGAACATACAGGACAAGAGTGTGCACGGGATAAGTGATATTTTAAATGTTCATTGAGTTGTATGCTTGTTTTAAATAATTTTTTACAAATATTGCATTTATGTTCTTCCTCACTATCTTCTTCCAAATGAGTTCTAGTATGTTTATCTACTTCACCAACATTATCAAATTCCATAGAACATACTCTACAACTGAACTTTACAGCTCGAAGAATACCTATTTGACTACCAGTTAATGGATTAGGTACTGGAAATATATTATTAGTACTATCTCCAATACTACATCTTAATCCTTCTTTCTTTTTATGGGAACTTATATGATTCCTGTAAAAATATTTTTAGATTACAATTAAAAAAAACATGAGGTATAATTTTCATAAAAATTACCTGTAGGCTTGTTCATTTCTAAAAGTAATGTTACAACTGACACAACGATAATCTTGTTGCATTTGTTGTGTTAAAGATGGAGCAGTTACTTGTAAGATTGTGTTCTGTAGTTTTATTGTAGGATGGACAATTAAATAATGCTGTCTAACATCTTCCTTAAGTTCAAATGTTTCTGTACATGTATGACACTTATAAGGATACAATGGATCTGTGCTAACATGTAATCTTATATGCTTATCATAAGTTACTTGTGAACTACATTCAGTTTGGCACATATCACATATAAAATGAGTTTTAGTATGAAGATATAAAGATTGTGAAGATGAAAAAGTTTTATGACATATAGTACAAATATTTTTCTCTTCTTGATTATCATTCTTTTTCATTATATAATATTTATCACAGTGTTCACATTGAAATGCTGGTTTTGAATCATAAATAGATTTTTTCAATTTACATCCACCCTTTGCACAAATTGCCTTTCTATTAAATTTTTTTAGAGATTGATCTCTTTGACTCATATTATTCATATTTTCTGAAAACTGTTGACTTCCTTTTATTAATTGTGCCAACACTTTAAGTTTTTTTGATCTTGGACATGGTTTTCCATATATTTTATCTATTTGTATTGTTAAACAATATGATTTTTTTCCTATTTTTGCTTTTGGATATAATTCAGGTTTTATATGAGCAGATCCATTTAATGATATTTTATCAGAAGATATATCTATTTTATCTTGCTCATTTATTTTATCAGCCTGTAACATCATATTTCTTTATTAAGTTATTAAGTGATATACATAGAATTTAAAAGAAAAATAAAATTATTTACATTTTCTACTAATTGAATACAAGGGCTTTGTGGTGGAGTTACTAAACTTTGCGAATCATTATCTAATTTTTTTTGTTTTGACGGTGGAGTTTTAGGTGACTCAGTTTCAGATCCATTTTCAATTTTACGTTTTTTTTGGTCATCTATGATAAAGAATATATTTTCATTAATATATATATATATATATTGAAAAAATTGAAAAATCTAATTATTGTTACATATACCATCTACTTTATCAAAAATAGTTGGAACAGCATTAGAAACCAACTCTTTTAAATCATTAAAACTCGTTTTGTCAAAATGCAATTCACAAAGATAAATTAGCTTATTACTTTCAGTATTTTCGATCAATTGACAATTCTTTAACCATTCATTCCTTTGACTGGAAACATAAATATAAAATCATAAATATATAAAATTATAAACCTAATAAAATAATCATAAACACATAAATACTCACTCTATTTCTTCGGGAAAACGGAATAATAAAATATCTTTCCCGTCGATTTTTGTATTTTCATTTGAAAGACAACCGTGTGCTTCACAGGTTAACATTTTATTGGTAAAAAATTTCTTTTAAACAAATATAATTTTTCATAAAAAAAATAATAATAAACTCAATAAATAAAAACAAAATTGTATATATAAATTATAACCTAAAATCTGAAAATTTTATACAGATATTGTAGCTAATATTTGAAACCAAAAATTTACAAAAATAATAAGAAATAAATATTATTTAATAAACAGAAACCAATTGCATTTAAAAAGAGATAGTAATAATAATAGTTATATTATACAATGTAAACGGCTACAGATTAGTTGAGTGAATGAAATTTAACCAATCACGTTTTTCCCATGCTACTTGTCATAGTTTATATACATCGATTGGTTATCTTTTTATGCAATTGTCTCTCTAAACATTTATTATATTGCATTTTGGAACAACGTCACAACAAATCTATCTCAAAAAAGAAATTTATAAAAATGGATTGATATGTAATTTCTACATAAATGGAATAAAAACAAATAATACTTGCAATTCTTGATTTGATTCTTCTGTATCTTTCAAATAAGTATATAATTATTCTAAGTAGTGTTAAAAATTGGGATTGTCATTAATTGAATTGAATTGAAAACCGATTGAAAAAACATGTAAGAAAAACAAACTATTGTAAAAATAGAATTTAATTTAACATGTACATATTTTATATATTAAATACATTTTTTCCAACTATTTTCATGCCTACTTTTTCTTAAATTATATTGCATTGCATTCTTCTAACCTTGAATTATTAAATTAAATTAAGACAAAAAGTCTAGTACATCTGTAATTTTGCAAAAAAAATTATGAAAATCTTCTTTCATTGCAACATCTATATTCATCACTTGAGTGTATTCATCAACACAGTTTAAATGTTAAAATTCTTTGATACTATGTTTTTTCTATTTGGAGTAGATGTAGCATTTCCATCTAAAAAGATAAAATATTTATGCTTAATTACTAACATATTAATTGCTTCTTTTATGAATATATATAAACCTTTAAAATAATGTCTTCTTAAATCATTAGAAAATAATCTAGAATATTTTGGAGAAATTTTCATTTTATTAGGAGAATTTATTTTATAAATTAATAATTGTCTTTGAGGAGATTTATAATTTGTTGTAGCATTTTCTTTATTATCATTAAATTGATATCTTGATTTTTTAAATGAATCAAAAGAATTACATTTATATCTTTTAAATAAATGTTTATATTTCTCTGAAAAATGAATTCATTGTAACAACAATAGATCTTATTTATGAATATTATTTATTTTATAAAAAATAATACCTTTTATTGGAGAGACTAATATTTTTTTTGATATTTCCTCATCATTTATATAGTTATCAATAAAAATATTAAATTTTGGTGAAGTTAAAATTGTTTTTAGATTTATAAAGGATAAAAAATCTTTATCTAATGTATAGTTTATACTTTTCTCTTGTAAACTGTATTTAATATCACTTAAGCTATCAGAAATTTCTGTTATAAGATTTTGAAATATTTTTTCCATGCACTTAATCGTTTCACAATATTCAATTATTTTTGGATTCCAATGTGATATGTCCGATAACTTATTCTCTTTCAAATAATATTGTAATTGTTTTAATACTTGATCAATAATTGATAATAGAACACGAAATACTAAGCATCCATTTGTATATAATTCATTATTATTGCTCTTTAAATAAAATATATTATGAATTATATATATACTTTTTTAATATTAAATAGTAGTCTAATTTATCTATATTTTTTACCTGAATATTATTATTTAAACATAATGAAAGTATTCCATTATTTATTTTTGGAAGATTTTTTCCATCAAAGTATTTAAAATAACGTAAATTTAAAATTAAATCATATAATGTATTACTAAGAATTTTTAATTTTTGTAGTTTCATATTTTTTTGTTTTAAAAATTTAATATTTTGATCAATACTTTTTTTCCATACTGCAAATTTAAATTCAGATATATTATAATTTAATTTTTAAATTGATTATTCATTAATATAAATTATTAGATACAAATTATAATACAATACAATTTATAATTTCTGCATCATCAAGATTTGTTAATCGCTTTGCTATTAATGGATTAATTGAAAATATAGACATTAACTTTTCTATATTCTCTTTTACTTCAAAGATAGCAGTTTGAACTTTTGCTAAATCAGTAGATTTACATCTAAAAAATTTATTTTTTATATAAAACATATTTTAATACACGTATAATTTTTGAAATATTAAATAAAAATATGTTTTACTGCATATAATATTCAAAGGATTTTAAATTTAATTTTATATTTTCATGAAATTTAGAAATAGCATTATTCCTTTTTATATTTATTATATTAAAATATGTTTGAGTTATGTATTTATTATCACCAATATTAGGAGCTCGCAACAATTGTATTTGACCTATAAAAAATTAATTATTAATATATAATAAAATATTATATTATTCATTTTTTTTACATTTATTAATAATATAAGCTCTTAAGCTAATCTCTGATATTTTCCACATAAGAATCAAAATTTTTCTTCCTCCTGCTTGTAATAAATGAGACATAATTATTGGCGGAAAATTTATATCTGGATTTTCAGTTGCTAAAATTTTTAAATATTCTGTTATTTCTAGACGATATTTTTTTTCATCCATTTTATTTAAAAGTGGCCATATGACCATTTTTTGAAAGCGTGTTGCATTATGTACAGATAATAAATAATGAGAAATATGAATAAAACCTAAAGTATTTGGTTTATTAAACATTTCCTATAAAAACTTTATTACATTAAAAATATAAATACTAATTATATATTATAAATAAATTTAATTTTGATTATAATACCTTATTAAAGCTTTTTTTACATTCATAAGATGCAGGCACAACTTGCATAAGTAAAAATACATTTTTATAAAAAGATTCATTAATCTCCATAATTCTTTATTTTTTTAATTAAATTATTTTGTAACTCTATATACAATAATTCTACTGTTATCTTTATGAATCAGACAAGTTCTCCTAAAGGATATTAGGAAAAAAATATTTGTATACAAAGTACAAGTTCACATAACTATATATGTAAGAATATATATATGAATACATGTAAATATAATAAATCTCAAATATATAACAAGAGAAAGTCTATTAAGTAGTCATAATAAGAAGTATTGTTTACACTAGATAGTTCTATATCTTAGTACTAATGGAATTACTTCAACGAATTTTTAAAAAAATGAACATTTCTAGGTATAAGGCGGCGCCACTGGATTGTACCATAGCAACTCATCTCGAAGTCGTCGTGAAAGCTTTCAACACTATGAGTCAGTGAAGTGTATCTGTCGGACAGTGGCGTGAAAATGGCGGTGTAAAATGGCAGGACGTAGATCGACGTTGACAAATGCCGATTCCCTGTCGGGATCTGGAAACACTGATCCTTTGAGGGAATTATTTGAAGCATGTAAAACTGGAGATCTTGCGAGGGTAAAGGCGTTGGTTACACCGAAGACGGTCAATGCTCGAGACACTGCCGGACGCAAGTCCACCCCCCTGCATTTTGCAGCTGGTAAGAATAATTTTTGCATCAGCTTCTTTTTTTCTTCTGTATTGACAAAATTAAATAAATAACTTGATATTTTCCTTGTTTTATCATCTATGATTGAAAATATAGGATTTTATTGTCACGTCATGAATGCAAAACAATTTAAACACTTAGTTTTCAATGTTGTCATTTTATAATTCAAATAATAATTTTTTGAATTTAATTACATTTATAACAAACCGAAATATATTTTTTAATATGATATAATTATTATAATAAATTATATTCCTCATGACGTTTTAGAATTTATTTAAGTACTCATTTTCTATTTTTAATACACAGGTTATGGTAGGATAGATGTAGTAGAATTTCTGCTTTCTGCTGGAGCATCTATTCAAGCACGTGATGATGGAGGTTTACATCCCTTACATAATGCTTGTTCCTTTGGACATTCTGATGTTGTAAGACTTCTCTTAGAAGCAGGAGCTAATCCTAACACTAGAGACAATTGGAATTATACTCCTTTGCATGAAGCTGCAATTAAAGTATGATTTTTTTATCTGATATATTATTTCTTATCCATTTTTTTATAGTAATTTTATTAAATTTTATATTTTGATTATTTTAGGGTAAAATAGATGTTTGTATTGCTCTGCTACAACATGGAGCAGATGCTAATATAAGAAATACAGAAGGAAAAACAGCATTAGAATTGGCAGATCCTGCAACCAAACCAGTATTAACAGGAGAATATAAAAAAGATGAATTGTTGGAAGCAGCAAGATCTGGAAATGAAGAACGCCTTTTACAACTTTTAAATCCTTTGAATGTAAATTGTCATGCAAGTGATGGCAGAAGATCTACTCCATTGCATTTAGCTGCTGGATACAATAGATCTAGATTAGTGCAGATTTTATTACAAAATGGTGCAGATGTACATGCAAAAGATAAAGGGTAAATTCTTGTAGTTATAATGTTCTATAATAATTATTAAAAGTTGATGTAAAATAATTGGTTTACAATAATGATGTTATAGAGGTCTTGTTCCACTTCACAATGCTTGTTCATATGGTCACTTTGAAGTGACTGAAGCACTTCTTAAACACGGTGCAGCGGTTAATGCCAGCGATTTATGGGCATTTACTCCATTACATGAAGCTGCTAGCAAATCCAGAGTTGAGGTGTGCTCATTACTTTTAAGTGAGGGTGCCGATCCGACTCAATTAAACTGCCATAGTAAAAGCGCCATTGATGTAGCCCCAACATTGGAATTACAAGAAAGATTGGCATGTATGTTTTCTATGTATATTAAGACTATTCTTAGAAAAACACACAGAACATAATTTTGTTAGATACACTTTAATTGTAGACGAATACAAGGGACACTGCCTCTTGGATGCCTGCAGGCAGGCAGATCTTACTAAATTAAAAAAGTACCTGTCCCCAGAAGTTGTAAACTTTAAACACCCATATACTAGGGATACACCATTGCACTGTGCCGTTGCATCTCCTTATCCCAAGAGAAAACAAGTAATAGAATCTTTAATTAGGAAAAATGCTGCCTTAAATGAGAAAAATAAAGACTTTCTTACACCTCTTCATGTTGCTACTGATCATTCTCATTATGATGCAATGGATGTGCTACTTAGACATAATGCAAAAGTCAATGCTTTAGATGGATTAGGGCAAACTGCACTACACAGGTACCGTGAATTGTCTAGTCTTGTCTTTAAAGTTTTTTATTTTTTTATTTTATGAAAAAAGACATAATTTCCTTACTTAAAAATATTGTTGCATAAACAGGTGTGTTAGAGAAGACAATGTGCAAGCTTGCAGAATATTGTTATCATACAATGTTGATCCATCTATAGTATCACTTCAGGGCTATACTGCAGCACAAGTAGCTGCAGAAAATGTCCTTAAAATATTACAAGGTTCGAAACTAATTCATTTTAGATACAAAGACTTTTCAACCGAAGAATGTTTCTGTTCTTATTTTTGTTTTATAGATCCACCAAGTGGGACAGATGATGCGGAAGCGCAGTTGTTAGAAGCAAGTAAGTCTGGTGATTTAGCGGCAGTAGAAAGAATTTTACGTACGAATCCATTGGCTGTTAATTGTCGTGACTTAGATGGTCGACACTCCACACCGCTGCATTTTGCAGCGGGATTTAACAGAGTGCCCGTAGTCGAATATTTATTGGCACATGGAGCAGATGTACACGCCAAAGATAAAGGGTTAGCAGTTTATTGTATAATTTATAAAAATTAATTATAATTTAATTATAAATATTATTTATAAAAATTCAAAAATTAATTGAAACAAATTTTTAATTTCATATATTTAGTGGACTTGTTCCCTTACATAATGCCTGCTCTTATGGTCATTATGAAGTAACGGAATTGTTAGTAAAACATGGTGCATCAGTGAATGTTGCGGATTTATGGAAATTTACTCCACTTCACGAAGCTGCTGCTAAAGGAAAATACGAAATAGTTCGCCTATTACTAAGACACGGAGCAGATGCGACTAAAAAAAATAGAGATGGTGCAACACCTTTAGATTTGGTAAGAGATGGTGACCAAGATGTAGCTGACTTACTACGAGGGAATAGTGCACTTTTAGATGCAGCAAAAAAAGGAAATTTAGCGAGAGTGCAACGACTTGTTACACAAGATAATATTAATTGCAGAGATGCACAAGGTCGTAATAGTACTCCATTACACTTAGCCGGTAAGTTTCATTTATTTTTAAATTCTTCATCTCTCTTTTGGTATTAGTTTGTATACAATTTAATCTGCTTATATTTTAATAGCGGGATACAATAATTTGGAAGTAGCCGAGTTTTTGCTTGAACGTGGAGCAGATGTAAATGCTCAAGATAAAGGAGGATTGATTCCTTTGCATAATGCTTCGAGTTATGGTCATTTAGATATAGCTGCATTACTTATTAAATATAATACTGTAGTAAACGCTACTGACAAATGGGGCTTTACACCACTTCACGAAGCAGCTCAGAAAGGCAGAACACAGTTATGTGCCCTTCTTTTGGCTCATGGTGCGGATCCTTTTTCAAAAAACCAAGAAGGACAAACTCCTTTAGATCTTGCTAGTGCTGATGATGTAAGATGCTTATTGCAAGATGCTATGGCTTCACAACAAGTAGTACCATCGATACCATCTGGTAATAATGGCGTTGGAGTTGCCATTAATTTAAATAATAATGGTAATAATACCATTAATAGTAGACCGCCTAGTATCGTTGCGGGTAAATATGTTTCAACAATTACAATTATATTTTTATATTTACATATTTGTCATATTGTTATATTTATACATATACAATAACATATTATTGAAAATCATTTATTATTAGTTCCAGTTACACCACCACCATCACTTACTCAAGAAACTGTAATTATGCCTTCTGGTACAGCTATGACTTTGTGTGTACCACTTGCAAGACCATCTTCTTGTTTGAGTCCAATGCCATCAGAAATATGTTCTGAAAGAGATTCCAAAGATTCTAAAGATAATTCAAATATCACAACTGTTGCTGGTTTTCTTCAAAGCCTCAGTTTAGAACATTTATTAGAATTATTCGAACGTGAACAAATTACATTAGATATATTAGCAGAGATGGGTCATGAGGATTTAAAACAAGTTGGAGTGTCTGCATATGGTTATAGACACAAATTAATCAAGGGCATGGAAAAACTTCTAAACACGACTGCTGGTACTCCTTGGCAACCGACTATTACGCCAGGAACATTGTTGGTAGACTTATTAGCAGAGGATAAAGAATTTTTAGCTGTGGAGGAAGAAATGCAAAGTACAATTAGACAACATAGAGATAATGGTCATTCTGGTGGTATATTTTCTCGATATAATATAGTTAGGGTACGTTTTAAATTAAATTACAATAGTGTTTATTTATAATCTATAATATTGTTATATTTTATTAAATGTAAAATTAATAATAGTAATATAATAATAATATAATAGTAATAATTAATAATTATGATTTTTTTCGAAATAGATACAAAAAGTGCAAAATCGTAAATTATGGGAACGTTATGCGCATAGAAGACAAGAAGTAGCTGAAGAAGTTGGTGCAGCAGCACCTTCTTCTCCAAGTACTGGATCTAGAACTACTCCTGGATCGAGTTTACCACAAGCAAATGAGAGAATGTTATTTCATGGTAGTCCATTTATTAATGCTATCGTTCAAAAGGGTTTCGATGAACGACATGCGTATATTGGCGGTATGTTTGGCGCTGGAATTTATTTTGCTGAACATAGTAGCAAAAGTAATCAATATGTATACGGAATATGTGGTGGTACTGGTTGTCCTGCTCATAAAGATCGAAGTTGTTATATCTGTCACAGGTATTTATATAAAAACAAATAACAATTTTTATTATTTCTGAATTATTTAATTTTGATTATTATTCTTTAAATTTTTATTATATAATATTTATAGACATTTATTACTCTGTCGTGTTACACTGGGAAAGTCATTTCTGCAATTTTCTGCAATGAAAATGGCTCATGCACCACCTGGACACCATAGCGTAATGGGTAGACCATCTCAAGGTGGTTTAGCTTTCCCCGAATATGTTGTCTATAGAGGTGAACAAGCATATCCCGAATATCTTATCACATACCAAATAGCAAGACCTCAACAAGAAAATGGTGGAAACGAAAGTGTCGAAGAACGGTGATCAGAAGAGTCTAGCCCAGCGGCAAGGTTACGAAGTCTTTGTTGCTGCCAAAGACCTCGAACGTGTAACACTCTATCTTGAATCTGGTTAAAACAAATTATGATTTC